CCTGCATGAATAAACTTTCTGAATCCTTTATCATCTGCAACTGAAAATAGTTGTGGATGATTACTATACCTTTCTAATGTGACGTTGTTGTCCCTGGCGCTCTTTCTCTTTCTCTCCCTCCCGCTCTGTTCCTGTGCTACTGAGCGTAACTACCGCCCCTCCCCCCTCTGCCCAGCGTAAAGCACAAGGCTCGCATGCGGAGTGAAGCGAGAGAGAAAGTGCGAGAGAGAGAAAGAAAACAAAAACCACGGCTCGCGATAAGGAGCCGGCTCGCGTCGTTCACTTCAAAGAGCCGGCTTTAAGAGCCATTTCGTTCGCGACCGACCCATCACTACTCGGCTCGGAGCTGGGCGGCCATCTGCCGAAAGCGTTTGTGGGTGATGGGAGAAAAGCAGGATATACTGAAAATCACAAACGTCAACTAATTCTTATTTATTCGTTTAATATTTCCCACTTGGAGTCATGGAAAGTCATAGCTTTCCATGACTCCCAGTTTAACTTAATTCATCTAATACTGGGACTCCGTTCGGCCCCTGAGTGGATCCTCTGACTCAAGCAAACCATTTTCTTTTAAACAGCTATTCCTGTCAAACTAAAGGTTTGAAGCCATGTCTGTAGTCTGAAGCCTGAGCTTCTGGATGAAAATTACCACCTAATATTACTTCCCAATAAACTGAACTGATCCCAGTAACAGACTGGTAACAATATACAGCTCAACAATGACTCTGAATCACAAACATGGCTGGTTGGGTGGATGGAATCCAAGTACACTTTAATTAAAATGAGAAAATTGAAAATATATGTATATTTACTTAATTTTACACAGTTTATTTTAATATGTGTTTTGATTTCTCGACTGTTTGCGTAACTTTCCTCTGCCATATGATATCGCTTTATTACTGCGATATTACATAGAGCCAGGACAGTTATCTGGCAGCTGAGGAAACAGCTGTCTCCAACAGCAACCTGAGCAGATTTGTAGTCATGCAGGTGTCAACACAAAGCGATTCTTAAACTGATGCAGACAGTGACATTATCTGAGTGTTGTCTCAGGAAAGAATGTGTTATGAGTGGCAGCAGTGGAAGTTAGAAATATGTACGCTCAACATTTGGAGGAAATTGCTTGTGCATGGATTCGGCTGGAAGAACGTGAATGTGAAGTTGTAGCTGTGGGTTTGTTCATCAATTAAAATGTAAGAAAGGCTAAAGAGTAAGACGCCACATGAAAGTCTCAGAAATGCAAACAGGAAGACAAACCCTCAAACATAACCCGAAGCAAAAGACCACAATAAAGCCCAGCGACTCGAGATGAGTGACCGCCGCGAATTAAAACTCCTGCCAGGAGGCGCCTCGCCACCCCACATCCCTGACCACCAGCGCCATCAGAGTGCAGCTCATTAGTCGTAATCTAAGCCTCTCCGAGCGGCGTCCCTTCATCATCTTCATTTCTCTATCTGGTAAAGAGGAGTGTGAAGTGGGCTCACCCTAATCATCTAATAAGGAACAGAAATAGGGGTTCATGGATGCACTCGCACAGCAGATGAAGGGGAGCGAGCAGCGACTGACAAAACCACTCAACGAAAAATGATCCATTCAAAACAGGAAGACGGATTTAGGGGGATTCAGGAGGGCAGCACAGTTGCTGAGACAGAAAAAAAAACTATACACATACACACTTGTAATAAGGAGATGGAAGACACAAACAAGGAACTGATAATGATGTAAGATAAGGGAGGGAGGAGCTTGTTATTCATCCTGCCAGAGCGGGGACTTTGGCATCTCACACATTCACTTAGATAAGAGATCGCAGCCTGGATCAGAGCAAAAACAGATATGATACAGATGTTTTCTTCCAGTGGGTACCGTGGAGAAAACACGGGGAAAGAGATGACTGATAGAGCCTCTATCTGTCCAATGTGTCGCACCCTGACACTTGCATGTTAACCACAACTGGCTTTGGCACGAACCACGAGCCTGCT